GATATAGTTGAGCCTGAGGATGAGGATGCCCGTGTTATTGATGCTCTATCTGATATGGGACCTGTACTACATGAGGAAGATGCAGGAATGGATGCGGAAGATGATCTGTTTGATGAGGAACTTATGGATTTGGAGGCACCTGTGCCACAACAGGTCTCACGCCAAATGGAGAAGGGAAGCAGCTCAAGCAGTTAGAAAGGAGGCAAGAATGGGAACAGACGCACTCCCAGGAAGAAGGAGGTCCTCCGTCGGGGATCTCCACGGCTACGAGTCCTAAGTTCTTCTTCTATGAAGAACACCGGTGGAAAAGCTAAACCAAAACATCTTAGCCATAATGCTAGAGATGATCGTTCAAAGGCAAAGACAACAAGTGGTTCGATGGGGTCCAAAAACCCATCCCACAATCGTCCATGAAGACACTCAGTTGGAACTGTCGAGGGATTGGGACTGACCTCACAGTTCGACGCCTTACGGAGATGTGTCAGAAGCATCGCCCAGGACTAGTGTTCCTTTCTGAAACAAAGAATAGGAGGCTGCTGTTGCAAGACATTCAGGCCGACTTAGGATTTGATCGTTTGTTTACCGTTGAGCCACTTGGTCTCAGCGGAGGTTTAGCTTTATTTTTTATGGATGATTTTCGCGTTAAGATTTTGTTTTCAAATAACAGAATGATTGATATTGAAGCAGTCATTGATGGAATAAAAGTCTATATGACATTTGTTTATGGGGATCCTGTAGTAGAAAGAAGAGATTTAGTTTGGGAACGTCTTACGCGCTTCTCAACAACACGAGATGGTCCATGGTTTATGATTGGTGATTTTAATGAAATTACTTGTCATGAAGAGAAGGAAGGTGTGGCAGACAACGCACGGATAGCTCTTTTTTGCCTTTCAAACAGATGCTCAGTGATTGTGGCATGCTGGAGTTTCCTTTCACAGGAAATATGCTTTCATGGGTAGGACGAAGAGCAGGAAATGCTACTGTTCGATGTCGACTTGATAGAGCTGTGGGTAATGAGAACTGGCATGAGAAATTTCCTCATTCTAAGGTTCAGTATTTGAGACTTTGGGGTTCGGATCATCGTCCAATCCTGGCAGATATTCTTAGGAAGAAGACACGCAGATCGAAAAACTTTAAATTTGATAAGCGATGGCTTCAGAATGAGGAACTAAGACAAATTATACTTGAGGGTTGGAAATCACCAGATTTACCACCGGGAGCAAGTATAATGGAGCACATTACAAGTTGCAGACGGGCTTTAAGTGAATGGAAAAGGCAAAACAATCTGAATTCAGAGAAAAGTGTTGAGGAGTTAAAGGAGAAGGTGGATCGATTATCCTCCAATGATGATGCCACTACGGAGGAGATAGCGGCGGCGCTAAAAGAATTGTCTGATGCTCTTAAGGCGGAGGAGCTATTTTGGAAGCAGAAGTGCAGAGTATTCTGGTCAAGGGAGGGAGATCGAAACACTAAATTTTTCCATGCTTCAACAAAACAGCGAAGGGCGAGAAACAGGATAACCCAACTTCTGGATGCCGATGGGAATGTTGTGGAGGATGAGGAAGGACTGATAGCCATTGCTACTAGTTACTTTCGTCAGATCTTCCAATCATCAAACCCTGGTGAGATTGAGGAGGCACTATCTGAAGTACGCACTACAATTACGCCTTCGGACAATGAGGGACTCACGGCTCCGGTTTCAGAGTGGGAGGTTAAATTAGCACTCTTTGATATGCATCCCGAGAAGGCTCCTGGGCCAGATGGAATGACAGCCTTGTTCTATCAAAATTTTTGGGATATTGTTAAGGATGATTTAACTCGTATGGTTAATGATTTCTTATTTCATGGGACTATTCCGACGGGTCTAACTGATACTAATATATGTCTTATCCCAAAAGTTGACAAGCCTAACCAGATGAGTCAACTACGACCTATCAGCCTTTGCAATGTTTGTTACAAGATTATATCTAAGGTTTTATGTCAGAGACTTAAAAAGGTTCTTCCAGATCGGATTTCCGAAACCCAGTCAGCCTTTGTTGCTGGGAGACAGATATCTGATAACATAATGATTGCCCAGGAATTGTTCCATGCATTAAGGACAAAACCAAGTGGGCGCAATAAGAGGATGGCCATCAAAACAGATATGAGCAAGGCATACGATCGTATGGAATGGTCTTTTATTGAGGCTACCATGAGGAAGATGGGGTTCTCCGAAATCTGGATTGCCTGGATTATGCGATGTATAACGACAGTAAAGTATAAGGTACTCATGAATGGCCAGCCACGAGGGAATATTGTACCAGAGAGAGGTCTACGTCAGGGAGATCCTTTATCCCCTTTCATTTTTATTCTATGCACGGAAGCGCTCGTTAGCCTTCTTAATCACGCAGAGAGTCAGGAAAAGATAACGGGGATGCGCATCACACGTGCGTGTCCCTCGGTATCCCACCTGCTCTTTGCTGATGATAGCCTGTTCTTTTGTAAGGCGGAGCCCCGTGAATGTGAAGAAGTAATGAAGGTGGTCAGGATATATGGAAAAGCCTCTGGACAGTGCATAAATTATGACAAGTCCTCCTTACTCTTTGGTAAGAGGATTGGTCAAGGAGTCAGACAGGAGATCAAAGATACACTTGGGATACAGAATGACGCAGGAATGGGAACCTACCTAGGGATACCAGAGGACATCACTGGATCAAAATGCAAGCTGTTTGCCTTCTTAAAAGACAAACTTCGAAACCGAGTTAATGGATGGACAGGCAGGTGGTTATCAAAAGGTGGAAAGGAAGTTATGATTAAGTCAATCCTGTTGGCCCTCCCAACATATGTTATGTCCTGCTTTTTGCTTCCTTTGGAGATTTGTGATGCCTTGGCTAGTGCCATTGCACAGTTCTGGTGGAGCTCAAACCCACCTAAGAGAGGTTTACATTGGACAACATGGGATAAGCTATGTCTATCTAAAGAGGACGGAGGAATTGGATTCAGGATGATTCATGAGTTTAACCTGGCATTACTAGCAAAGCAGCTGTGGAGATTGGCCCAGAACCCGGATTCATTGGTTGCTCGTGTCATGAGGGGGAGATATTATAGACTAAGTTCGCCTTTGCGTAAGCTAACTGTCAGCAGTCCATCGTATGTGTGGACCAGCATCTCGGCTGCTCGAGATTTATTGCTATTAGGGGTTAGACAGAAGATTCATTCGGGGTATGAAGTGAAGGTATGGGAGGACCCTTGGATTCCCACAATCCCAGCGAGACCAGCGCATGCATCAGCTCCTGTTTGGCATCCGAATATGCGAGTGAGTGATCTTATCAATCACGAAACAAAGTCTTGGGATTTGGAACGGCTGGCTAATTATGTTGACGCTGCTGATATACCTCTCATAAGGAGTATGGCGATTAGTTCAACCCATCGTAGAGACACATTCTGCTGGAGTCACACACGGAGTGGGCAGTATACAGTCAAGTCTGGCTATTGGGTAGCTCGTAATATTCTAATGAAGGAGGATGCAAATGTGGTAGGTGAACCTAGCTTAAAAGGGCTGCAAGCATAAGTTTGGAAGGTTAAAGCTCCCCCGAAGATGTGTCATCTTATGTGGCAGATTATTTCGGGGCAGGTGGCTGTTACGAGTGCGCTGAACCATAGACACATGAGATGCGATAATTTCTGCCCTCGATGTGGTGAACCGGAAGAGACAATTGCACATGCAATTTTCCAAGCCCGCCGGCTTTACAAGTTTGGGCCCTGTCATCCATACCTACCAGCTCAACTTTATTCCCTCTGGAAAGCACATACGCGAATATGGATTATCTGTTCTGGCGGAAGAATATCATTGGAGGGCCAGAGTTAGAGAAGGATCCTTATCCTTGGTTGATTTGGTACATTTGGAAGGCTCGGAATGATAAGTTATTCAGAGGAATAGATAGAGACCCCTTGGAATTGGCGCGGTATGCGGAGAGTGAGTGTTATGCCTGGTTCCAAGCTAATGAGCAGGATGTGGTGCCTCCACAAGATACTGTACAGCAGGCCATAAGCCTAGCTGAGATTTGTTTGATAGATGGTTCTTGGACCTCTATGGATCGGTTTTCTGGCTGTGGTTGGGAGTGGAAGGATAGCATGGGGAATAGTCACCTGATGGGGATGCGTAATGTGTATAGAGTGGAGTCGGCTTTGCATTCTGAGCTGGAAGCGCTGCGGTGGGCAATGGAGAACATGCTTCAACATTCGCCATGTCAGAGCTTTGGGACGGACTGCAAGGAATTATTAGCAATGCTCAAGGATCCCCATGGATGGCCAAGTTTTTCGACGGAATTGGAGAGAATCTCGACATTGCAGATTTGTTTTCCGGACTTCAAGATTTCTTATGTACCGAGGTCTTTAAATGTTGTGGCCGATCGTTTAGCTAAGACTGCCCGATCCTTTTATCGGGACCTCATGTATGTTGGTTGTTCTATTCCGGTCTGGATTCCCAGACCACCTCAAGCTTGAGTAATAGATCAGCCTTTTGATGCCAAAAAAAAAAAAAAAAAAGAAATAATCATTCCTTATAAAGATACCATGAATTTCTTGATGCCACGCGCCAGTTTTTTAGCATATTATAAATATTGTTAATATGTATTTAATAGATTTAATATTAATTTTTCATGACATTTGAAAAAAATATTTACAAAAAAAAATCACGTCCGAGAGTTTTTGTAACTTAAAAATCTATATGCTTTATAATATGAATTTTAGATGTGGCATGTACGTTTCTTTTAACCAAACAAAAAACATTTACAGATGGATTAAATAGGTAAATTATTTTATTTTAAATCTTAAATAATTATATCTATATAAATATGTCAATTTAATTACAGAAATACTAATACAAATAAATTAGACATATGAACATATGTATTTTAATTTGTTTTAAACTTTTTTGTACTATTATTTTCCCAATTTTTTTAGGAAATTTATTCGTATTTAATATATATATACTATAATCATAAGAATATAACTCATGATCAAAACCCAAAATTTGTACTGTTCAAAAAAAAAAACCCAATATTTGTTGTTTTTTTCAATATTGAAATATACAGATGGAATGTGAGGCAAAAGGGAAGACTAATCCCTCTCTCAACTTTACTCTCCTTGCAAAACCCTTGAACCAAAGCGTTATACGTAATTGCATCCCGTGCCACTTCTATTTCAGACATCCTCGTAAAAACCTCAAACACCTGGTCTGCTCTCCCATATGAGCACAACCCCGTGATCATCGTATTACAACTAACCGTTGTTTCTCCATACCCATTCTTAATCATCTCACCGTAGAGTGCGCATGTACCCATCATACTGTAAGTGAACTCGTTAGGCCGCATCCCTTTCTCTTCTATCATCTCAAACCACAGCTTCCTCGCGCTCCCTAACCACCCCATCTCGCATAGCCCGTGGATCATCGTGGTGTAGACGACTCTGTCAGGTGCATAGCCTCTCTCTTTGAGACTGTTGAATACGCAAGACGCCTCAAACTACTTCTCGTTCTTACACAACCCTTTTATAATCTCCTGGTAGGTGTAAATAGTAGGGAGATGGTTCTAGGCAATCATGGTGTGAATAATCTCCGACATACAAGCGTAGTTCTCACTCTTAAAGAAGCCAGATATTAATTGGGAATACACTACATGTCTTGAATCAAGACCTTGTTTCAAACTCTTCTTGAGAAGCTCATAGGCTTGTGCAACCTCCCTACCTTCACAAAAAGCTTGAATTAAACACTGTAATCTCACAACATCAAATTCAACTCAGACATTCCCTGGTGAACTCCCAGAAGAGATCTATTCTCGTTGCTTTCAAGGAACAAAAAGAATGTTAATAAACTACTCAGCTTTTGAAGGGACAAAAATGCAGAGACAGGGAGAGAGGATGAACCTGAGAGTATAAAGAATGGAGCTGGTCGCTGGCGAGAGAGGCTTGTTTGGGAGTGATGGAGTTAGGGGAGAGGAAATCTCCGAGGTGTTTATGAAGGATGTGGAGAGCGTAATTATAACACAGATTGCTCAGCTGCTTCTTCACTCCTTTGCCTCCTATGTCCTGCTCTAGCTTTGCTATGAACCTAGCCAATACAATGTAGGTGAAATTCAGGAGCTGACTCCAGGGAATCAATGTGAAATGGTGAAGAAGAAGCTTACTTGGAAACAACAATCAATTGGCAATGAGCAACTGCGGCCTCTACCAGCTCGGCCAATAGCTCTGAGAATCTTGCAGATAGAAGAATTTTTTTTGAGAAAATTTCGTAGAGTTTGGTCATTTGGCTTAAGGATCTGACATGGCGACCAATTGCTCTGGATTCATGAAAGTTAGAGAAGTGTACCTTGTTCTTTGATTTAAGAACTGCACAGCCACGAAGAGCCACTCAGAAGTGTAGGCATAGCATACAGAATGAACAACTCTATAGACAAAGGAACAGAATGCATGCAATGGAAGGATAACTTCAGATTGTTACAAGTTACAACTTAAATGTCAAAAATATTTACCTGTAATGGCATTTCATAGAATCCTGAGACATTCTAGCAACTGAAATAGAGAGCACCAAACATTGAGCCATTTAGATTTCTATAAACATAGTTCACTGAGATAGAAAGAAAAAATTATATTCACATCAGATCTGTATTTTGGAGCATAGTTTCTGGAGAAGCTGTGAGAGAAGTGACTTGAGTTGTTTGTCTAACCTCAGCTGCAAGTGTTGGAGAACATGAAATCTTGACAATGACAGAAGATGAATTCTTAACAGATAAAGCTTCCTTAAGAAACCCAAAAAATTTGGATTACAAAAGAAAAATTAACTTGGGATGCATGGTTGCAAGTTTCGATACAAAAGCTTCCAGGTCAAGAGCTTCATCAAAATTTCCATTTCCCACGCATCTGATAAAAATACAGTTCAATTTTGAAGAGCACTTTGAAATTTCTTAACGTCGATATAAAATTCAATTCTCACATGAAAGGGCATGAGAAGAGATTTGCTAGCAAGAGGTCTAGTAGCAATGACTGGTTAATAATCCATATAGTGTTCACCTCTAGTTCTGTTTCTGAATCATGATCCAAAAAAGCTAATGTTTTTATCGAGCAAGTAAAACAGAAAAAGAACAACGACAAATCAACGTTTCAATTACAGACCAAACATTTCTACAAACCAAATAAACCAAAAACAAGAAATGGATATCGAGCAAGAACAGAGAGAGATCTCAGAATAAACCCATTCGTCGATGAGGAGCATCTCGAGACCAATGAGTATCTTCGAGAGTGGGTTTCGAGCCTCTCAAAAATGGATCAGACGAAACCTTAACTTGCTTTCTTGTGGTCCGAATTCAACATCTCTGAAGAAGAACACTTCATCGGCTTTGGCGGAGGAGTCGGAATGGAGAACGTCTTTTCCGTTTGGTTTCTTCTACATAAGATCACCGGAGACAGGGTTGGTGGAGGAGACTCTGGTTTTTCCGGTGTTTTTGATCGCTGAGAATTTTCCATTGGGTTTCATCGCGGATTTGAAACCAAGAAACGGTGAAGAGGTAGAGAAAGAGTTGAAACGAAAGACATTAAAGATGGGAGTAAAGAGGAGGTTTGATTGTTAGTGATGATGAACATCGTGAGAAAGGGAAACATAGAAGAAGTGGGTGAAAGTGAATCGATCGATTCAATTTGTGGGATTAGGGTTTTTGAAATCGGGGTCAACAGAACCGTGAAATTTTTTTTGTCTCAAGCAGTGCTGATGTGGCGGATTAAAAGCTCTTGATTGGTTGATTTTTATGTTCTACGTGGACACGTTAAGAGAGCTTTATTTAGCCCTTTTAATAGAGTAAGATATACTGATATATCATGGATTTTACCCGTTTTCAGCCATGATTTATATATGTTTTTGGAAACAAAAGGATACTTTTAGTATCTTTTTAGAGCTTTTACAGGTTCAGGTACTCACTGGTGTAAAACATGCATTTTGGAGCTAAAATAGAGACTTTATGAAGATATGAGCAAAACGATGTTTAAGCTATCGACCGATGCACATTGAGTGCAATCGACCGATAGATGATTACTCGTATTGATCGACAGATGACATTTTACATCGATCGATACATAAGTTACAAGCGATTAAATGAATATTAGAAGCCCTAATTGCTTCACAAGAGTTTTAATAATTTACACACTAAGTCTCTGGCCGCCTGTTAGGCTATATTAAGAGGGTTTTGTACTAGTTTAGGTAGACAACTTTGGAGACCTTTTAGACCTAATTAGGAGAAGCATCTAGCTACACTTTGAGAAGAGTTTGATGGAGAGAGAGATCTGAACTACAATTCTAGAGAAGATCTTGAACTCCCTTTTTACTTATTGTTTCTTTTTATTATTATCTTAAAGTATTATTCAGACCATCATGACTTTGTCTCTCCTGAATATGTTTGAGTAGTCTCTCTTGTTAGATTTAGGTTTCTCATTAAGGTTGACTCATGCATTGAATTGAACCATTATTAGGGTGTTTAAAATATAGTTCTCAATCTAGTTATCAATGAATGCTAAGGTTAAGGATTGATCACCCTTGCCTCTATTTTAGGATCAATTTGGACAAGCGATAGCTTGGCAAATATCCTAAGTGTAAGTTAATTTAATGAAAACTAGATAATCCATTCAAACACACCTTTACCACTCGCTGGATGCGATATCGATCGACGAGACGATAGTCGTGTCGACCGATATAGCGGCATTAACATCGATCGATAGTTTCGAAAGATGCATCGAACGATATTCCTTTCAGGTTATCGGACGATAGTCCTAACCCGAAATCCAGTAGAGTTAATCCTTAAATAAGAGTTTGAATCTAGAACTATGAATAATAAAAACCCTTTACAATTTGCATGTATGTCATACCTGAGAAAATACCTAAGTTTAACTATCTTCTTTCTTCTTAACAAACCAATCAATCAATCAAGCAAGCATTTACTTGCTATCTTTTAAGTTACTGTTTAAAACCTTATTGTCTAGCTTTATTTCGAAGACTTAATAATCTGTTGTGTAATTCTAGAGTCCTTGTGGATTCGATCCCTAAGTACTACGATTGAACCTCTTATTTTTGAGAGAGTAATTCACTCCTTAGGGTTAAACATTTGAGTGATATCAAATTAGGCGCCGTTGCCGAGGACTCTTTCTTATTACCACCATATTTAGTTTAGAATACAGTCTAAAATTTTTATTTATTGTTTACTTAATTCTTTTTCTTCTTTCTCTGATTAACAGGGAATCCAAGATTGAAAAGACAGATTTCGGCCAAGCATCGACCGATGACGTGACGCACACATCGAGCGATATGTTGACCTAGGAATCAATCGACATAGTCCAACCCACATCGATCGATATAACCGAGCCATAAGCAGGTAAGTCTTTACTTACCGATTTAATTAATGAGGAAGTAGTCCCAAACGAACCAGTAGGGTCAGTTATGCAATGAAACCAATGAATTTACAGTTAAACAGGGGACTGAAATCCTTGTCAAAAACCATCCATCTTCAACTGAAGATGCAGAAAAATTGCAAGACTACTTAGATCCCATTAAGACCTATTCCAACAGGTCAGCTATCAAGCTACCAGAGGATGAAGCAAATAAGTCTACGCTTCATTTTGATTACATCCATCTGGTACAAAAGAACCCCTTCTGTGGTTCTGTCTCAGACCATGAGCACATAGATTATCTAGAAGGATTCGCACTCAACGATAGTAATCGTTGCAAACTCTTTCCTTTTTCCTTGGGAAGGGAAGCCAGAAATTGGTTAAAACAAATACAAGCAGGATCCTTAACCTGCTGGAAAGATATTCGCACTGCTTTCATTAACGAATTTTTCAATGAGACTCGATATTGGAACGTGAGACATAAACTCTCCACATTCCTTCAAGGCCCACGAGAATCTTTCAGAAACTCTTGGACTAGGTTTAATAATCACCAGCGAGATTGTACCCACCATGGTTATTCTGAACCAGAACTTCTTAAATTATTTTACGGAGGCCTCGAGTTGGATTACCAGATCACGCTAGACAATGCGAGTAATGGAAATTTTAGCTCCAGGACCCCTGCAGAAGCAAATTATTTGATTAAAAACATAGCTATGGTTAAGTCTTATGAAATTAAAGATAGAGGAACGAGAAGCTAGATCCAAGAACGAATCTCAAATAAATGAAATTAAGCAATCACTAGATTCCCTTCACTCTCTCATTAGGAAAAAAGGATTCTGATGTGATCAACAGCGATAAGGATGTCCATTCCATTGGGCAAACCTTCTTTAGACCAGAAAGCCCTCAAGAGTATACATTTAACATAGATAGTTTTACCCAAGGCTACGACACTTCCATTGGATTAAACAAAGGAAAGGTCAAGGCCAAGATGAACCGCGTTCTTACAGAAAGTCAGAAATTAGAGTAT